GCAAATTACAGTTCGTTTCCAACTCTGTAGAAAAAGAAAAATTGCAACACTTGTGTCAAGTTTGACTCCCGCCACTCTATTTTAAAATAACGTAATAATTTTTCACTCGTGAAATTTTGTAAAGCTAAAAAGGTAATGAAGCACTGGTGAGTGACCAGCTCTCACAATTTTCTACGGTATAAGTTACCGAAGATCAAAAATTGCAAGACCCAAATATGGACACTGACAAGGAGACAAACAAAGAAATTTGATAAAGTTTTTTCGAAGTTTTTGAGACATTTTAATCGAATTAACTTCATTCCGCCAATCACAGCTCGTTTCCAACTCTCAGGTGGACAAAGCACACTTGTTTCTCTTTATTCCAAAATTGTGCTTCTCTGCAACAATTGTGTCAGGTTTGTTTGACTCCCGTCAGTCTGAGCCATTTTAAAACCCATTTATGTAAGATATTACTAACTGGAAGTAACCCCTAGTCGCCCTAAACTTACAGCGGTTCTACATTTCATTGGTTGAACTGAATACAACTGAAAGGAGGGTTAAAGTAACAAATCAAAATGATCCGATTCAAGATCGTGCGAGGTTCCAAGACTAAGAAGAAAGGGAAAACCTCGTTTTTAATGTGAAATACTACCCATTAAATACTACATTAACATGATCTGTGCGGCTTTGATACTGGCTTACGCATTATAAGGGAAACTATAGCACTATATTGCCACCTATTTTGACCTCTGCAACCCTGTATAAAATCTAATGAGAGTTTTTATACACATTAAGTTAAAGGTGGGTTGCCATATGATATGAGCAAGAGACTTCTTATTGCTGCGGTAATACAACGAGCAAATACTATACAACGTCAAAAGCTGTTATAACCTACTTTTAAGGTGACTACGCGCAAAAACCTGACTTGAAGGGGTAAGATAGTTTCAACAACCATTAATCCTTTTTGCCCTTAATTCTACTTCTGTTAGTGAGGACAAATAATATCTCATTTAAGGTCATCAAAGTCACTGTGACCCTGACTAACAGATCTCTTATCAACTAATCTGACTTAGGCCTATCGACCAATAAACTCTTCTACGCTCCAGCTCTTATGGTACATATTCTCTGAACAGTTACCTGTCTTATTTCTGACAACTTTTTCGTAATAACAAACACAAAAACTCTTATAATTTATAACCTTGTTACGATCACTGCTGAAGTGGATGGCATACTGTATTGAAAGGAATTTTGTGTGTCGCAATCAGTGCTAATATGGCACTGTGCGTGGTGTTGCAATGAATTACTCTTAGAAAATGCAATGTAAGATTCGCAATTTTGAAAAACCAAATCTCACATGTGTTGATCAGTCTACCTTGGCTGTTTTAATTACATGATTTTTGCAACCTAGATACTGGTTTTTAATTAGGGAAAGCTATTGCGCTATTTTGGAACCTGTTTTGGGAGCTTACTCAAAAATGACCACAATCTTTAATCCTGAACAAAATCTACCAGGAGTTTTTAAAGCTAAGGATTTTTCAAAGTAGATGTTAAGTGTTCATAAGAGCCTTCAACAGAAGTTTCAACAAAACAAGAAGCACTTTCATATGATATGATTGCTAGCATCTAAGGCAAAAGACTCATTTTGTCGTGGTAATCCAATATAACAAGCGGAGGATACGTACAGCATTTTTTGCCACGTGTATAAAATTGTTTCATAATACTTTTCTACTGTTCCTACAAACAGCGTGTGCCTATCTATGCTAACAAAAAGCAAGTTCTCTAAAAGAGAACCACACAATATCAAAAGCTGTTAAACCTTACTCTCAGAAGGTGACTATCTGTAAAAACCTGAAAAACACTTATCCTTTGTGCCTAACTCTCCCTTCAGTTGTTTTCGTTTAAGTAGTGAGGACAAATGATATCTCCTTTAAGGTCATCAAAGTTGATGTGAGCCCAGTTGGCAGATTTGTTATCAACCAGTCTGACTTGGGCGTATTGACCGGTGAATTCTGTTACGTCCCATCTCTTACGGAACATTGTCTCGTTACAGTTGCCTGTTTCTGTTCTGACAACCTGCATGTAACAACAAAAATATCAAACAGTTTTAAACCTTTGTTTCAATCAGTGCTGACGTAGCTATCATGACTGTATAATACTTTAATTCAAAGAAAGAGCAACCTCCTACTATTGAAATCAAGATATTACGGCATTGAACGTGCTGATTGCGATGCTCTGCACTGTCGTTTCAATGTTGTTTATGCCAAAGACAAATAAAGTGTGCCAGACGCGATGTTGTTTCACTCGTAGAACCTCTTTTAAAGAAAATCAAAATAAGCTATTAATAAGGCAAAAATACATTTGAAAAGTAAAACCCAAACGTTTTCGACACTAGATCATTTTGTTTTTTTAA